GACTGAGGACTGGCACCTGGATGAAGGCTAGGGCTATTGTCTCTTGAGCAATTAGTTGCTATTCAACCATGAATAGAGTCTCTTGATTAGACTTGTAGGTAGCTGGAAGGGGGGGGGGGGGGGTTGCCTAGCTTTGCAGGTCTGGAGGAGGGGGGGTTGCCTACATGTGCTGGAGGAAACTCCTAATGGAGTTTGGAGTTCTCTGTCCTCGTGTCTTTCCATGGCATGGCGTACAGGCTTTGTACAAGTTTATAGAACTGCTTCATCTCACAGCAGGCGAGATGTCTGGTAACTCTGGATTACTTCTGGAGCAGCAACGCTAAAGGAAGGTGTCCCTCTTTCAGGTGTGCAGTCTCAACAGATATTCCCAGGTCTCCATATTATACAATCCCTTTGCACAGATTATATTCCATAAAAACACATTGATAGGCTTGCATGGCAACATTTGGGCAAGCCCTAGTTCTGATAAGAGCTGTCCTAGAAAAAGAGCCGTTTCTGTCAGAGCTCTCTCAGCCTCACCTGCCTCACAGGGTGTCTGTTGTGGGGAGGGGAAGGGAACGGAGTTTGTAAACCGGTCTGAGACTCCCTCTCTTCTTTTCTTCTTAAGCATCTGTGTAGTTCATTTGCTATAGTCTTCAAACCACTTATAAAATCTTGACCATGTATTGTCAAATGTTTACTCTGGTTGTCCTTTCACGATTAAAGTTAATTTGTCCATCTCCGCAGTTTCCAGAATTTAGCTTAAAATGTCTTCTCTCCAGGGTTTTTCTGTTCTTCTCAATATTTAGCATAAAGTATTTTCGCTGTCGTGTGGGCTTTTTTCTATGTGGGCATTTCTCCATGTGGGCATTTCTCCTTTTCCTTTTTATGCCCCCCCTGTAGGGGATTTTTTATTGCATTTCCTATAAACTACAACAAAATTAGGAAGGGGATCTACATACTATAGGAGAAAGTAAAGAAAACCCACTAAAAACCCAAGAGATGGTGGTCATACATCCTGATTAACAAGTTAGCTTTTAACTCAACATTCGATTCCAGTTCATTGACTGTGGTCATCTGATAATCTATTAAAACTTAAGTAAAAATTTAAACACCACCGTATCTGACTTCTTGAAGAGTAATAAAAGAAATAATTATAACAAAACATTGTAAGAGATTTAAACACCACCGTATCTGACTTCTTGAAGAGTAATAAAAGAAATAATTATAACAAAACATTGTAAGAGATTTAAACACCACCGTATCTGACTTCTTGAAGAGTAATAAAAGAAATAATTATAACAAAACATTGTAAGAGATTTAAACACCACCGTATCTGACTTCTTGAAGAGTAATAAAAGAAATAATTATAACAAAACATTGTAAGAGATTTAAACACCACCGTATCTGACTTCTTGAAGAGTAATAAAAGAAATAATTATAACAAAACATTGTAAGAGATTTAAACACCACCGTATCTGACTTCTTGAAGAGTAATAAAAGAAATAATTATAACAAAACATTGTAAGAGATTTCAAGGTACAATAACATCTCAGTTTTTGTACTTTTTCTTTCTCAAATGGTAGCTTGTCTTTGGGGCCATGTGGGCTTTTTTTCTGTGAGCATTTATGAAATGCCCCCCATATGAAAGCTCTGGGTGCCAGAACCGGTCTTTGGAGCAGGAGCTGTGGGCCCCCTGGCCCGGGGGCAGTTCCCAGAGTGTGGGGGGGGCTGTGTCCTTTGCGGGGGGAGGGGAGGTCCAAATCTATTTGGGAAGTACAGATACGCTCCCCCCCATTATTTCATCTGCGTTTCTCCCAGGGACACCCCGCTTTGAAGCTCTGCCTGGCACCAGGGAAGGACAAAGACCTCTCTGGAGGGCAGCGTCCCCTGCATTTCGGGATGCAGAGCGGCAGGGGTCCTTCAGAACAGGAATGGGGCCTGGGAACCAACTCCTGCTGGCTGATCTTCTGGCCCCTTCGCAGGGTGGGTGGGAGGACCTTTCGCTCCGGCCAACCAAGGGAGGGGCCCCGGCTCAGCGGTGGAGCCTCGGCTTGGAAGGTAGGACGGATGGATGGACGGGGGTCCTGGTTTCTACCCCGGCCACGCCAACGAAAAGGATCAGCCAGTGGGTGGCATGGAAGACCCCTGCGGGAGCCGCTGCCAGCCTGATGCTCCCTCTAAGCTGTGGAGTTCGGTGAGCAAAAATCCTACTTTGGGAGCGACTGGCATTACCGTTGTGAGCGACAATTGTCTGCTCTGGAGCCCTCCTTCCTGAGCTAAGGCAAAAATGCGTGAGCTAGTGTATAGATATATTATTTGCTATTGTGGTACGTCCCCCTTAAATTCCTGAAGCGAAATATCATCTGGGGCCCCTAGGGAGGATATAAGAAAACTTGGCAATCGTTCAAAAAGGCCAGCTGCAGCTAATCTACACACCTTTACTGAGGAAGGTGGCAGTGAAACAGAGACAACTCTTCAGGAGAAAAAAGCAAGTTTTCTTCCGCTTAGGCGGCTGACTGATAAGGGACTTTTCCTTCCCTCTTTCTCCTGCTTGCAGCCTTGCCAACCTCCAGTTGAGGACAACTCCAGCTTGCCAGCCTCCTGCCAAGGACGATCTCAGTTCTAGGGGCTCAATAACAACTGCTTCAGACAGTCAGAACATTGCCTTGGTGTTTTAATCCTTTCTTAACGTTATTATCTCTCCCAGTGTTTTTTTTCTGTAGGGTTTTGGCCCGCAGCGGTGCAGGGAGATACATATGTATTTTTTATCTTCGCTCCTCTTAATTAAAACTATGTTGACTTTTGGAGAAAACAAGTGTGTGGGACGGTGCAATCAGTGAGAGCTTTCTTTCATCCCGGGAGGGAACCCCAGAGCCAGGAAGTCTACTCGAGAGGAGAAAACCCTTCTGCTTGTCTGGGGGTCTGAAGTAGCCAGCTCTCAAGGTGAAACGACCAGGGAGGCCGGGCGCCAGACTCATACAGCCGGAGGCTAAAAAACTGTGAACTGACTCACACTGACTCAGCTTAGAGGGAACACCGGCTCACAAAACTGAGATGGACCCGTGAGGTGTGTGTGTCTGATTCCATGCCAGGCTTCGCCTGCGAGTGGCCCTCCATTCATCTGCCCTCAGCTGCTGCTGGGGGTATCTGGGGAGAAGAGGAGATCCTTGTCAGACCCCTGCCTGGAGCCATCAGTTCCCAACAACAGTCATTCAAAGAATAAAAGTTTATTGAGGATGCAGGTATCTACTCTTGACATTTTTTTGTTAGAACTAAACTAACCCAAACGTGCGTAAAGCCAGCAATTATACTAACCCCCACTCCCGCCCTAACATTCCAATGGCTTAGAGCCAACTGCACTAAAGGAAGAGCCCGGGAATATAACCAGTCCGTATCCCCAAGAGAAAGCTGGCCCCAGGCGCTCAAGGTCGCAGGGCTACTTGGAGAGACAGACACCAAGCAGCTAGGTGTCAGGCTCCTTAGTCAGGTCACACTGCATAAGGCTTCATAAGAAGATAACTGTTTATTAATGGATCCAGTACTAAAGAAGAGGTGTACAGCTTGTGTCAGGAATGGCCATCAGTACTAGAGCCTCTGGCTTATAGTGAAATCAAACATTCCCCCTGTAAGCATGAACCAATGGATATATCTCGCGCCCACGGGCAAAGTGGGCATAGCAGCAAAGAGGCTAACTTTCCCAGCTGTGTAAACTGCAGCTGGAACATCTACAAGGTGGAGCATCAGATAGCACACAGTAGCTGAGCAGAGAGGAGGAGGGCACCGCCCCCACATTCCAGATCTATGACGGGGCTACCTGACGACACTAGGCAAGCAAGCAAAACGAAAGTGAGCATTCCAGGCGTCTCCCCGTCACCCATGGCAACCACGCCCGGTGCAACGGGAGGGTCCCGGACCCCGGAGGCCTTTGCATCGGACCCCTGCAGGGCCGGTGGCTGTCCTCCTTCTCCGCCCCTGTGTGCAACCGACGCTTGCGGCTTGCCGCTTTCATTGGGTGGAATGAGCCTCCCCCCGCCGCGCCGTGCCATGCCAGGCGCCGCAGAGTCCCCAAGCACAGCCGCGCAGGCGCTCCCGGAGCCACTCCGCCCGGAACTCCCGCTTGCCCATCTGCCGGCCCCATCGGGGCGCGGGGAACAGGGAACTACAGCCCCCGCCAGCCTTTGCCCGAGAGGGCCGCTCCTGATTGGCTCAGGGGATCCGGGCGCTCTGCTTTTCCCCCGCCCGGCGCGGTCGCGATGGGTGCCGGAAGTCCACCCCCCGGCAGCCTTTGCCCGAGAGGGCCGCCCCTGATTGGCTCAGGGGATCCGGGCGCTCTGCCTTTCCCCCGCCCGGGCGCAGTCATTGGACGCGCGCTCCCGGGGACGGAAGCAGCGACTCTGCAGCACATGGCGGCCGCGGAGGAGTCGGGGAGGCCCGGGGAGGCCCAGGCCCCCGGAGGTGGCGGCGGCGCGGCCCTGGCGCTGGAGGAGCTGCTGCCCTTCCTGCGGGCCGAGAGCCGTCCGGAGCTGCGGCGGGAGGCGGCGCGGGGCCTGCT